CAGGAATGCATTGAGCTGACCCTGTTCTGGCCCAAGCTTGCATATTAGAAGGCACACAGGAGACAGCAGCCTCAGGTTTCCTTGAGGGGCACAATGAAGATTAAACTTCCCCACTGCACCAATACCTTCTCCTTCCTCTTTCTCCTGCAGCCTCAGGTCACAGATGGGTTCCAGCTCATTAAGTGCACAGTAATTCTCCCACTATCCCCTGTAACCGTAACCACCAGCCCAGCTCAGTTCTTTCCTCCAGGATGCAACCTGCTTGCAATATTAGATGGCTTTTCATTTCTCTTTAATGTTAGAACAGAGCTCTGGGAGGGGATAAAATACACAGAGAGAAACAAGCAACTTAAAAGGCTTTTTATTTTTTAGGCAAAGATCTAGTTTGGGGAGGCTGCTTCGAATCCCCAAGCAACGAAAAACATTCTCATGTTGGAGTGCAATGCCCCAGCACCCTTCCATGCTATAGGAATACAAGGAAGAAGAGAAGTTGACCAAACAAACACCCCAAAAGCCTCATGGCATCTGCTCACAACCAAACCACACAAAGCTATGAACCCATTAAGTTCACTGGTGATGTAAGGTGGTTGGCATTTGGATCAGCTGCCTTGGAGGAAGAAAGGAAAAACTTCCCAAGCCATCAGATGCCTGTGAGGCCCCTGCAGCCCCTCAGTGGGGTTACTTTTCCCACTCAGCACAAAGCCAGAGCCCAGCCCACCTGACTGATGCACTCTAGGAAATTACAGCCTATTTGCTGGGACATTCAGAGGCTTTACAAGAAGCTTGCTCCACGCTGCTAGCGTATGTGCTTTCCCTGGGTCAGTGGCCCCAAGCTGTCAGGCTGTTTATTTGGTTTTAATCAAAGGTTAATTCTTATTCTGCTGGAACTGGTACGTCTGCAGTGCCACTCGGCCTGCTCCACAGCGTCGAGAACAATCAGCTTCTCTGGAAATGCACCTGTCTTGCTAGGAGCCCCCATGTATCACTTAGGAAACCAAATTCCCCCAGACTGCTTGCAATCCCCCCAGGAAT